TGTGAGGTTTGAATTGATTTTTTTAAATTTGCTTGCCTTAGCCACTAACTCAGGCGGTGACGCAGGACATTTCAAATCTTCCAGGCAATATCAAAGGTGCTTTGGCTGTTTCCTGTGTTATCACGTGTAACTAGAATCATTAGCTGTCCTTTCTGACACTTGGTAACGTCAACGTCATGATGTATTAATGAGTTTGAGAAGTAATAGATTTGTAGCATGGACAGTGTCACTTCGGAGCTCTAACCTATATTAATCAAGCTGCACCCTGGTGAGGCTTGTATAATTGGATTTTATATCATATTGTGCAAGCGTACCAGATGACTCTGTCATTGAAACCAATTCATTCTCAACAGATTGTTAATGGGGTTTGGTTCTCATAGCCAATGATGTTAAATGCTTTTAACAGAACGTTGATAACCTGAACAGAAACTGTGAAGCTTGAATTGATTTTTTTTTTTAGTTTGCTTGCCTTACCCACTAACTCCGACGGTATCTAATTCAAGACGACGTTGGATATTTCAAATCTTTCATGATGAGGCAATATAAAAGGTGTATTGTCCTTGATCTGCTTTGGCTGTTCCCTGTGTTATCACCGACGTGTAACTAGAAATATTTGCTCTCTGTTGACACTTGGTAACTTGCAGTAGGTTGTGATTTCGAGAAGAAAGAATGGTTGAATGGGTGGAACTTGAAACTTTAAGATTTCTCGAACAGATGTGCTTTTAAATAAGCTCTTTTAACAAAAAAGCTATCAAAACTATGCATATATTAGCTATTTTCTTGTTTTCCGTTGATCGCCATTCTAGGAAAATAACAGCTTCTGCTGTAGAATTAAGCAACAGATTAGTTCACGAGAGTATACAATAACTCAGACGCCAGACTCAATGATTAGGAGACTAAATATTTTGTCATTGCTATTTTTACAAAAAAAGAGACCCAATAACTCTGCTATTAGCGCATACGGGAACAATGCCACAGGAGTTTGCTCAATATGTTTTGATAATCATGACCGACACCAACCATGTCAAATTAAAGTTTGGAACTTAGATCAAGCNCCAATAACTCTGCTATTAGCGCATACGGGAACAATGCCACAGGAGTTTGCTCAATATGTTTTGATAATCATGACCGACACCAACCATGTCAAATTAAAGTTTGGAACTTAGATCAAGCAAGAAGGCCACAAGCTTTAATTCCGGATTTCTATTTTAAGGATGAAGGCATGGCTTGCGAAAGGTCTAGGTACGTTTGCAAATGGATAGTCTAAGGTGAATTAGATTTCCAAGCGATAGTGGGTCAGCGGGCTACGGTATCGGCGTGGAAACGGTGGCAACGAATTGATCGAGCTCCGCCTTATTGGCAATAAGGAAGCGACTCAAGCCCTTAGCTTATGATTATCTTACTTTCCTTAAAAGTTTCAGCGCATTTCAACGTTTCTCAGCGTTGCATCACCGCTTACTTCTTTCTTTTATTATACTGGCATGTATTGTATTTCTTCTACACGTCGTATAAATAACTTCAGTATTAATAAAATAAGTAAATGACACAATTGAAAACGATGCCTTGTATGAGTTTTATTCGTTCACAGGAAACCCTTAATTTAGAAACTTACTGAGAGTTCTGCTATCGTCGGTGTCGATCCTCAGAATTCAACTGATATTACGACAAAAAAGGGTGCTTTGAGGTAATATATCAAACACGATCGACAGTGTTTTACTACATTTTTAATCACCTTAAACACTTTTTTTTCCGGTAAACTTCAAGGTGTTTGGAAATGGGCTGAAAGACTGTCTCGAGTACTCGATAAATCCTCCCAATCAAAACTAAACTGAGAAAAAAAGGTAAAAAAAGTCGTATAAATCTGTGCTAATTAAGATAAGTTATCCAAACATCAAGGTTTTAAACGTGATGAATTACTAATGTGTTTGAGA